CCCCAGGCCCCCCCCCCCCCCCCTCAGGGAATAGAAATTGTATATATTTGGGAGGACTCCGAATGGCATAACTATCACAATTCATTGTTTGGGGGATACAAAATAGGAGGGTGTCCAGTTGCAGAAAGCAGCAGAGTATGCTGCTTTCTGACCCTGGGCACCCTCTTATCTTTGTCTAAGGAGTAATTCTGATATAAGGCATGGCACAAATGCCCCCTGGGCTTCTCCTGACTTTGTAAGTGAAGAACATTACTAAGAGAATGGCAAAGGACTTTTAAACGTTGCCAAAACTTAAAACGAAAGCTAATTTTTAATAACAATTCCATAGTGTGGAGTCAATTTAAATGGGCTTTTGTGAACTTTTAGGTCAGTTTGAGATTCATTTGCTTTGCTTTACTTTTTTTACTCTACAGAAGTCAATCTGAATGCATAGCAAAGGCTTCTCAAATGCCCATTAGGACTAATGCATAATTGCTGCAAGTTTTAACTTTCTATAGCTATATATAATTACTCTTATTCCCCTTCTTTGACTATTCTTAACTCTACTCTGTCCTTTTAGCCACATTTACTTGTTCCAATTTTGCCAGTTTCCATAGGTAACCTACCCAACACATCGAGCCCTTGTATCAACAGGCAATATGGCTGCAGAAATCTGCAACCGACCATTCCTAAAGTATCGAATTGCAGGTCCATTAAACCTTAATAAAAAATATATACACAGGGAAGTTTTCTTAAATTAAGCCGTAACATCATATAACAACTCAAAATAACTATTTGGAAGTACCTATATGTAATTAAAAAAAATTATGAAGTTACAGTGCTATGTAAATCAATGTCTAAATTAAAAATGTTATCTTTTAAAAAAAATATTTTGCTGTAGGTGACTACACTTTATTAAAGCAACACAATGTCACTGTATTGACATAGTACTTGAACTTAATGTAGTACTAATGTAACCATGTCATCCCAAAAATGCACAGTTGTAAATACTCCTCAAGTCATCAGATATTTGCCATAAGCGTCATAAACTACTATTGCCTGTTTTAATTGACAGCTCCTTCTGGTAGAATTTGAAGATAGTTTTCAATTTTGAACCTTTGAAATTTAAAATCCAGTGCATATGATGTGATGGGACTTGTATACAATGTTAAATGAACTACTATAAAAACAACTAAAGTTACCATTAACTGATTTTATAAAAATAGACCAAACACTTTAGAAGGATATATGTTACCTTCTCACGCAGCTCCTCTATTGTTGTATGGTAGTGCGAGTAGCTTTGCTCACGCACAGTGACCGACCCTTGCTTCTCATACCAGTCATGGATCTTGTGCTCGAGCTCTGTATTGGCCTCTTCCAAACACTTCACCTTGTCCAAGTAATTAGACAGGCGATCGTTGAGGTTTTGCATTTTGTACTTTTCATTTCCAGAAAAAATTCCCTCTCCACTGCTGGAAGCAATGTTGGAGCCGAAGCCAGAGCTGCCAGAACCGCCATAAGAGGAGCCGCCACCAAATCCAGAAGAGGCTAACCTATGCACGGATTGAGAGATACCAGAGCCAGAATAACCTCCATGCACACTTGATGACCCCAAGACACCACTAGAAATTCGAGATGAGAGACCACTTCCAGCCCTGGAAGAGCTGCTGTGTGCATAGCTATAGCTCATGATGGTACTGAAGGATGGAACAGTGCACAGATAGAAAGTCACCTGTTGGAAATGGTGCTAAGAGTTCATCTGGGTACTCTATATTCTCTCCTCAGCTGGGGTTACCATGGTGAAGTTGTTTAGTTGTTTGATGTGTCCTCCTACTTGGAAGTGAGCCACTGTGATACCTTTCCAAACTGTACTTATCTTGGATTCCTCTCTTGCAGATGCATATCGGAGTTTCTTTCTCTTGTTTTCTTTGGGAACAAAGACTGCCCTCTCAAACAGCATTTTTTTCCTTCAGGGCACGAACTCAACATCAACTTCATCTTTCACTGTTTGTTAAAAAGTAAATATGAGTTCCCACTGCAGTATGTACATAACCTTGAACATTTCAATAGGGAAATGAGAGGCACCACTGACATTTTGAAGACTAAGATTCACTGATAACTTTTTAAAACTATTTTTCTTGTAAATGTTACTGGGGTGATGAAATGATGAGCAGAGAGTACAATATAAGCATTCACTGGTTTTCATAGTTTCTGCCAAGTGCTACTTGATTGAAATGTATTTGTTGTGCAGACACAGGAAAGACAAGTCATCTAATTCTAACTCCTTAGCTTAGCTTTAGGGATCGGTGTGCAGCACAGAACTGTCTTGGTCAAAAACTGGATTGTTTATAAATTCAAAACAACTTAAACATAGAAATCCTCTTTCAGCAATACAGAGTGAACATGCTAATAATTTTTGTGATTTTTGTTAAAGGATTTTTTTGAGTCAGAACAGCTAATTTTGATGATAGGTGACTGACCCTGTAGTGTTCTGTGTGGGATTGTGTGGAGCCATTAAGGTAATCCAGCCAGTTTAAGGTATAGTTTAGTAGTAAGAACAGGGGCGGACTGAAAACACATGGGGTCCACGGGCACTATGAAGTGATCGGGCCCCTTGTGCTCTGCCCATATACAAGCCCCACCCATCCACTAGCCCCACCCACATATACATTCTTGTGTTATAGAAATCATTTCTCCACACTTTTTTTCAAAATAGCAGGTCTATTCACTAAGGTGAGTTGCAGGTGAATTAATAGGAGAATTGACAGGGAGACTGAATAATCTAGGACTGGAGTGGGGATTTGGGTGCATATCACACGTGAGGTATGCAAACCCCTATCCCCCCCCTTTTTGATACAGTGTGTGTGGTAAGACCCCTGTATGACCAGGACCAATGCACTGCAGACCGCAGACCAGAATAAATGCACGGTAGACTGCAAACCAGAACGAATGCACGGCAGACCGCAGACCAGAATAAATGCAAGGAAAAATGCAGACCAGCATAAATGCATGTCAGACCAGAATAAATGCACGGCAGACCTCACACCATAAACGAGAATAAATGCAAGGCAGACTGCAGACCAGAATAAATTCACTGCAGACCACAGACCAGAATAAATGCATGGCAGATCTCACACCATAAACCAGAATAAATGCATGGCAGACCTCACACTATAGAACAGAATAAATGCACGGCAGACCTCATACCATAGACCAGAACAACACACAGCAGGAATTACTAAGGCAAGCAAATGTACATCACACAGATCTTAATGATTATCAATCACAGTTTTAGTGCCACAATGGTTATCACTGGAGAAAAGTGGTAATCCAACCTGTCCACTGCTGAAATATATTTTTCTGACCAAATAACTGTTGTTTTCTAAGCTTCCTAAAGCCCTCAGAAAGAAATATGTGGATGCCTATGAGTTTGGCAAAGGATCTAACAATATTACCAAATGATTTCAAATCCATCATTCCAGTGTAAGTGAAATAATCTACAAATGAAGGGAATTTCAAACAACTGATAATGTGCTCAGGACTGGCCAAGAGCTGACCTTTGATGCTGAATGATTTCTTCTTAAACCCCATTCATTCATTCATTCATTCAGGTAGTTCTTGGAACAGTTGGGGCCAACATGCATGCATCTACAATTAGAAAGTGATTGCACCAATTCAACCTGCAGGAGAGATGGGTTAAGAAAATGCTTTTACTGTCCTAAAAACATTAGTGTACGAATACAGTTTGCCATGGAACATATAGGCAAAGACCAGGCCTTCTGCAATAATGTGCTAAAGACTGATCAAACTTAGATTTTTTGGTCACTGTAACAATTAAAACATTTGCCGCAAACCGAAAGCAGTTTGTTATGAGACGAACCCCATAACAACTGTGCAGCATGGTGGTGGAAATGTTATTGTTTAGAGTTGCTTTGCTGCTTCAGGGCCTGGGCAACCCTCAGTTATCAAATCCACTATACATTCTGCATCATATCAAAGTATTCTTGACGATAATGTGAGGCCATCTGTCCAAAAGTTGAAGTTGCATTGTAAATTAGTCTTTCAATGCGGTGATGATCTGAACCACACTAACAAATCCACCAAACTTTAAAACTCTTGTTAAACAGTTTGTAAATAATGTGGCTGTGGAGGGCACTGTATCATTATAAGGAAAACAGACTGTGAATGGAACTGTGTCTTTTATGTCATAATCTATTGTTTTAACTTGCGGTTACAATAAATGTACTATTTTATGATTTTAAAGAGTATGTGCCTCAAAAAAAACCCCAATGATTTGGTTTTGTGTAGATTATTGATGTCACAGGGGGATGAGGCATGTGGGTGGGCTTTCTAGAGACCCTTGAAGGCAGTACTGGGTAAGTTTACAATACTACATGACATCAATGTGTACTAAATCTGACCAGTGTTCTCACGTAAGAGGCAATATATGTAAATAGGTTGTTTACTCTAGACAAAGACAAACTGATACAACTGAAACCTTACCACCAAATTTACTACACTCCTTTAAAGCCAATTTAAAATGTAATTATTCACTATGTTGTTTTAGAGGCTGAGGTAAAGAGGCATATACTGTACTGGTCACCTTATTCAACACCTTTGGATGCAAGTCAAACCCTTTATAGAATCCAACCTGTGCCTACCTAATGTTTCTTGTCCTAAGGTGTGCCTATTGGGATTGGAAGTCTTCAGTTTCTCTTCCAAACTCTTCATTATTTTTCTGAAGAGTACCATTTCCTATACCTTTTAGAATATTATTATTATTATTATACAGGATTTATATAGCGCCATCAGTTTGCACAGCGCTTTACAAAACAACTGTAGATACATTTTAGTGGGCGTGTATTAAACAAAGGAAGCAAGAAAGCAAGATTTCACACCAAATAGCAATTGTTAACTGTGTTGAATATTTTCCACTTTAGGGTGTGCTGGTACTGAAAGGGAGGGGCTTTTAAGAAATACTATAAACTTTCTTGATATAAAAAAAATAGAAATATTTATTAACATCACATGATTATAGAAAGGTAATTTTCTTTAAAAAACATATTATTAAAAAAACATAATTATTCCACATGCAAGTATTGGTGTCATATCAGTTCCATATAATAATTCCTGGTTTTTGTAAAACATAGTGGAGAACTCATTCGGATAGCCCCAACATGTTTCGCCCTACTGGGCTTCTTCAGGGGGAAGTATTTATCCTAAATGAGAAGGAACCCAGGTAAAGTAACTCAGAGACTGCATTTTGTATAAAGGACAGACATACATATGTATATCTAAGTTGTTATATCCATAGATATTTGCAAACTTACATAGAGGAATCCACATAGATCATCAAACGACACCACTATGTGAAGATAAGTGAGTTTACAATACTACATGACATCAATGTGTACTAAATCTGACCAGTGTTCTCACGTAAGAGGCAATATATGTAAATAGGTTGTTTACTCTAGACAAAGACAAACTGATACAACTGAAACCTTACCACCAAATTTACTACACTCCTTTAAAGCCAATTTAAAATGTAATTATTCACCATGTTGTTTTAGAGGCTGAGGTAAACTGGTATATACTGTACTGGTCACCTTATCCAACACTTTTGGACGCAAGTCAAACCCTTTATAGAATCCAACCTGGGCCTACCTAATGTTTCTTGTCCTAAGGTGTGCCTATTGGGATTGGAAGCCTTCAGTTTCTCTTCCAAACTCTTCATTATTTTTCTGAAGAGTACAATGTCCTATACCTTTTTAGAATAATATTATTATTATTATTATTATTATTATTATTATACAGGATTTATATAGCGACATCAGTTTGCACAGCGCTTTACAAAACAACAATACAGTAGACCATACAGTTAACAATACAATTTCAGTACAGAAGGTAGGAGGACCCTGCTCGTAAAAGCTTGCAAACTAGTTTTAGATTTAGATCTATTGTAGCTGTCTGCTACTCCCACGGGTCAATTCATGACTGTTACCACTGGTTAAACAATTTAGATATCACATCCACAACTACGTTTTATTCCTCGTTATAATGATGAATCAGACTGGGGTACTGCTACTGCTATATGAAGACCAAACAATAATGAAAAATATGCTATTACAACCTACAGCCTAAAGGTATTTGCCAAGTATGTAGTCGAAAGGATTTGTATTTTTCAAATATTAACCTAGAAGTCATAAAAAAGTAGAACCTTCTTCCTGGGATATGGTACTTTTTCAAAAAAAATGTTGCATTTGTACATGATCACCAGGGCTATGTCCAAGCACTCCATGACCTTTGTTTCACAATCCCTTGTCTACTAGCCTTGAAAATAGACAAAACTGATCTTACAGATTGCCCCCATTGACTTCAGTGGGGTTTAGATGAAAGTTTGCAATCTTTGGACCATAAAATCGGAGCCCAAATGCACCTGCCTTGCCAGGGTGCCGCAACAAACCGATTCAAATCATCTACCGTGTTTCCCCGAAAATAAGACCTAGTGCTATTTTTGTGAATTGCTAAAATATAAGACCTACCCTGAAAATAAGACCTAGTTGTGACCATTCCCAGGGCCAGTGGTGGCATAAGGGGGAACTTGAAGAGCCGCGGGAGAGAATCAGCGGTGCCAATGAAGCCAGCACTAGAGGAATCAAGGTGGCAGTGGAGGGAGCAGAGCCACATAAGCCGATGCTTCCTCTATAGTGCCGACTCCTGTCACAGGCGGAGTGACACTGAATGCACTCAGCCTGTGAGGAATCGATAGTGAAAGTGCGCTTCACTCTGGCCAGCGGTCGGTTACCAAACTGCTGTTGGAAAGGTACGGCACCCCTGATTGCCCTGATCACCATATTTTTTTTTACATGAATACATGTAGACTGTTTTACATGAATAAGTGTG